GGCTTTATCACCGGAAGTTGTAGTTTGTCTGGTTTCATATGGACAAGATCCCACATTACAAGTTGTCATAATGAAGTTGCAAGAACAAACAAATAGTCATACATCACTAATTAATTTGGCTATAATAGCTTATTACATTATAATACCTTTGGTACATTGAATTAGATTAAAAAAATTAAGCGTTTGTTTGGGATAACTTAAAAGTAGTTAAAATATTAAGGTCAAAATCTACATTTAATTATAATCATACATTTCATTGGATCTGCATCTTTTATCAATTTTTCAATCATATATTTCATCAATTTTTATCACAGTCTGTTAAAACTTTTATCAAAATCTTTGTCAAACAACCTGTAAAGAAAAAAAACATGTAACTAAACACATCAACTGTCTTATTATTCTAATAAATGTACATTGCTTGACTTATTAAAAGATTTATTACCGTGCAATGAAAATCGTATTACTCTAAATGACGACTTCTTTCAGTCTACTACTCATTAGTCAAAACATACTAAACATGATAGTAATTAATTTTTGAAAATTATGAAATGCCAACATGTTGATTTGGAGTCCATTTTTATTAATGGTGGCATGCACAAAGCATATGCCCCACCAGCCTCAAAGTGAAATATAGTGCATAATAATTATGTTTAGAAATGGAAAAGTGAATGATTTAATTTAATGTTGATGATATGATGAAACATAAAGAGATGGTGTGTGTGGGGCCCCAAGAAGGGATGTTCAAAATTTGAATCATAAGTCGTTTGCAATTTATGGGAGTTAAAAAACTCGCTGTAGAAAGGAAAGGACACGAGTAGTTAAAGCAAGCGAACACTTTGAAATTAATTATTTTATTTAATTAACACTCGTAAATCGTAATATATTGAGCTCATAATGTTACCTCGTAATTCAAATCTCTCAACAGCTAAGAATAAGCATGTTCTTAACAATGGAATGAAGAAAAAGTATGTGTATATGAAGAGAGAGGGTGACAAAGTTTGGACTTACCAAAGAGTAAAAAAGAAAAGGGGGTTAGGGAATCTTGAATATATTTGAATCAAGACAAATGAAAGAAATCTTCACTATGGACTACTTTAATATTAATACTTTATTGACAACGGCAAAGTTTATTTATTTTTTAATTTTGGAGAAGTCCAATTTATCTGCCTGAACTATGATTTAGCTACATCGAATAAACCGTAAGCCATTAACCCTCTTTTATTAATTTAGTTACACTTTTATAGGTGAAATTAGGTACTAACATGAACGAGTTAGAACGAAACGAAAAATGACCAACTAACACTTTGACTTTACTTTAACTCATTAAGCTAAACCACTGTTATGAAGAAAACGATCTTATTATTTATTCTAGGTAGAACAGTATTAACGTATATTGTCTTATCAATTTCGACCTAAACTAGATTTTTTTTTAAGTTTACGTATAAAATATTTTATTGTGTGAATGTGTGATTGAAAATGAGTATGTGCAAAAAATTTGAAATAATGAGAGACAAATATAGACTTAATTTATGGGTTAATCTACTCTGCCAAAAGCAAATTGTCCAAAATAGCGCTAGAATCATCGACAGTGGGAGGTGATTTGATGGAAAAGACGAACGTGTTCTCAAAAATTTAATAATATAGTACCATGTGACATTACGTCAACCATTATGTCAATTATTTTCATACTGTAATATGGTTCTTAATTTATAATATAGTACTACTTGTAAATGACTTGAATCTGCTTGACGAAGGTAAGATACTTGCTATCTCGCTACAAGTAGATGATATACCGATTCCTTCGATAATTTTCTACAAGGAGTTGAATCTACTCGAACAAAGCGAGAATCTCTTATCTAAATCTAATTGCTTACGTGCTTGCTTCTAAAATTCAAGGTCAATGGATAGTTGATGTTGGTTTGAATTTATGATTCATGTCAAAGAGAGAGATGTCACCAACTAACGCAAATTCAGCACATTCCATCAGTGAACAGTACATGAGCAGACTGTAGTTTGATGCAAAAAAACAGCAAATTTCTATTTCTTGAGATGAGAGAACTGGGCATGAAAATTCCTGGTCTGTAATCCCACAATATCCGTTCACGAGTTCATTAATTTCCTAACTTCATCATTGTATTTCGGACCCTTTCACGTTGATCTGCAACTATCTATTCTGCACTGATACTTTTCCTGCAAATTTTTTCCGAATCACTCCAAATGTGAAACTGGTTGGATTAACCAGTTCTACTTTAGTAGTTCGAAGGCATGTTGGTGTGAGAGACGTGCTTCTCAGTGATTGATTACTGAATATTTTGTCTATGTAAAGCTTTATTGATTTGTCTACATGCTTGTTACGTCTCGTTAAAATATTTAACGCGACATTTTTGAGAGCGGAAGGCATTACAATGTAAAAATAGGTACCACTAAGTTCTATATTAAAATTATATTTTTTCCTCGTGAGCTAGATTCATCAGTTTATTTAATAAGAATAATGTTGTCTGATCCAGTAATGTTGAACACAAGTGACATTGAAGTTCACTACATTCAATTGGTTAGAAATTGTAACTTCTTTATTTTAACAAATTGAGTGCGGTGGACCTCATATGTCACATAGCAGATGCTTAACACTATTGAGTCAAATATCGTTACTCAAATTGTAAATATTCACGAAGTTAAGAATTTGATATTCAAGGTCTGCATCCACCAACTTGCCCATCTTTGACTGGAAACAAATTATAACCATCATCTGAATATTGATCGATTCAACATGTCTAGTCTACATTTAATCAATACCGCCTTTATTATTCACAAGTCAATTATGATATTCAAAGTTACACTCTATATAAAGGGTTCGATTAGCAAATATTACACGACCTTATTGCATAATGAAAGAAATGATTTTTTTTTTCTTTATCCTGTATAGTATTTTTCTGATCCATCGTATTAAACATCCTATAAATGAACCATAGAGACCCAAATACTATTATTCGGTCTCATTGGTGCTTAACATTAGTACACGTGGCATTAAAATCACTGTCACATTATCCAATAGAATTATAATGTATTTTTATGCATTGAATACTATGACAATGAATTCGTTACTGAAAACCATTCCATGTTCACTCACTAACTAGTATGTACTCTAATCGCATATTGCAATATTTAAGCCTTTGTTTGGCTAATTGATAAATAATTTATAAATGGTTCGATTTAAATTTCAATAATACGTTTTAATGGATTTATAATGTCTTGTTTGATTCATCCTATTTTCCATGGACAAGTTCTAACTTTTGTCTTGTTTGATTGCCAAATTTTTCTTGGCAAAATATTTTCCTCCCCACCCCCCACGTTTCATTGATTTGGTTTTCCCACCAAAATGATTTTTCAATGAAAATAAANAATTTTATCCCCAATTGTAATTTTTTTTTCCCTTTATTGGACAATTTTCATGGAAAACAAAGTCAAACGAATATCAAAAGATCCAAAATTTCAACATTTTCAGGTGGAAAATTATACCAATCAAACACAATTAATTGACAATTCTTAGAAAAATAATTTTAGATAATTCAATTTCCTGTAATTCATTTTATTTTCACCCAAATTCCACTATTGTAATCAAATGGACCCTAAATATTATCTTATTATCCACCATTGCTTTTTTATATTTCTTTTAAAATTAAGTTATTTATAAATTCTTCCCAAAAGGAGGCTACATGTGTATTTAATGAAAGAAGAGGACCAAAAGTGGAAAAAGCCATAATGAGAGGTGGGCGACGTTTTCCGTTAGGCATCGCTTTCTAGCCGTCGTAAGAACTGTTGACTTATGACCGTCACCATTAACGGCTTCTACCATTGCTATAAATAGTAAATACACGCACATTATCACACTCACACAGACACAAACAAACACACACTCTCTCTACAAACTAGTGAAGAGGTTGCGTGAAGAAGAAGAGTGGTATCTTTGTGTTTTCTTGGGAGTTTGTGGTTGTCTGTCTTGTTGAGAATGGGAAAGTTAGATCAGAAAGAGAAAGCTCAAACAGTAGTTGATCTTCTCAGAAAACAAGCTCCCCTCACTGTCAAACAGGTTTGAATCAATCCATCACTTTCAATTAACACATTCTCACCGCTCTCTCTGTGTGTTACAGCAAAAATGTACAGTTCCATATCCCACTTGTTTCTTGTTTTTGCTTCTGGCCGAAACCCATTTTTCAGTAGATAAAGATTCTGAGTTCTGACTATGTCTACTTTACTTTTCAAATGACTGAGTGCATTGTGTGTGTGTGTGTGTAATTGTAATTGAAGCTTTTTCAATGACTAACTATTGATATTTCTCCATTTTTGACAGGAGAAGTTCTGTAACAAAGCTTGCGTAGAGCGGTTTCTGAAAGCCAAAAACGACACCGTGAAGAAAGCTACGAAGCAGTTAAGAAATTGTCTTGCTTGGAGAGACTCCATAGGCACTGGTATGTGTCTTCTTCTCCTTGTTTTTACAGTCTCAAGTCAGAATCTTGCTTTTTATATTTTCAAATTGAAGCTCTGTTCATTAAAGTACTCAAGAATCTGGTTACGATAAAAGGAGATTATCCCAAAAGAACAAAAGAAGATTGAATTTTTTCACTGTTTTTTATGCTTGATTTTTAGACCATTTGATTGCGGATGAATTCTCTGCTGAGCTTGCTGAAGGCCTTGCTTATGTTGCTGGTCATGACGATGAATCAAGACCTGTTATGGTAATTAATTTAATTTTTTTCCCCACTTTTTCTCTCTAGTTTTTGCTTTTAATTAGTTTTCCCTTTAAGCATCTAATTTATGTTTCTTTTTTGTCCTTCCTACTAACAGATTTTCCGCATAAAGCAAGATTACCAGAAATTTCATTCACAGAAACAGTAAGTACATTGTGTTATCCATTTGTGGATATTAGTGCATCTTTCTTCTTAATCTTGTATGATCATTACTTTTTTGGTGAAAATTTGGCAGGTTTACTCGGTTGCTGGTGTTTACACTGGAGGTGGCGACTCAAACAATGTCGAAAAATGTTGAACAATTTGTTCTTCTTTTTGATGCAAGTAAGTTTTTTTTTTTAAACAAAAAAAAAAAAAAAAAAGATTGACCGTAGAAACCCTTTTTATAAATTCTTTTTAAATTTATTTTTCTGGGTAAAATGAGATTTTGTCATTTTAATACATACTCTGTCAAACCAAATCAGAAAACAGCTTTCTCTGTTAGTAGCAGTGGCAATTAATGTACATTCTTGTTAAATGTCCAAAGTCACGCCTAATCACTTAATTAATGAGTAATTAATTGTCTAATCAAACTAGGATAATGTTTCTTGTGCATGCCAGTATACTGTCCGAAAGTATGCAAAGTGTGTGAATTTTTTTCAGTCTTTGCCCGGAGTGCACTGGATGTTGGGCTGGTGGTAGGGCTACAAGAGTTCATTAATTCCTTCCTTCTTTCTTTTTTTTTAAACTAGGCTTTTATTGAAATAAACAGACAAAAAAAAATCGAAATATGATTAATCCAGCTATAAGTATGTAATGTAAAAGTGACCATAATTCTCCTTTTCGTGTTTCTTATGTCAGAAAGCCAACTAGAATAAATTACAGAAAAGGGATCAGAGATTTATATTTTCTTGATTTGTTTAACAATTGTAACTTTTTTTTTTTGGTGGGTGTGTTGACTTGTGCTATATGGGGGAAAATGTAGGCTTTTTCAGGTCAGCTTCAGCTTTTATGAACATGTTGCTGGCAACACTGAAGATCATAGGGGACTATTACCCAGGAAGGCTTCACAAGGCGTTTGTCATTGATCCTCCATCTCTTTTCTCTTATCTTTGGAAGGTATTCTCACTATAATTTTCAACTCATTTACCCAATTCTTTGCTACAAGATGCATATTTTCGACACCGATAATTTACTATAGATGAATTGGATAATAGTAAAGAGTACTGCGTTATAATATTGTTCAGTATTGTATAACGTACATGCTTAGTATGAAAATGCTTATTGTAATTATTGGTCCTATAAAAATTGCTATGTTGTAAAGTGATAGAAATTCTTGATGCACTAGCTAACTCTTACATGGTTGTGATGTTTGGTGTGTAGGGAGTAAAGCCATTTGTCGAACTTTCACCACTTACTATGGTGGTTTCATCACTAGATTTTGAAGAGTCTTTGGAGTTCGATGACTTCACATCATATCCAAGGGCAGCATCCCTTCGATTTGATCCATCAAACGTGCCAGGGTCGAACAAAATTGGCTCATGTTCTTCTTCAAGATTTTCCTTCACTGTTTCGCACCATAGTGATTCACTCAAACCTTGGCATCTCTCATTCACGGACACATCAGGATCTAAAGTGGGCCCCAAAACCTCGTCAGCAGCCCTATTGGGCCCTGCCATCTCACCTCTCAATGCAAGGTCCCACTCCTTTGCATCGCCCTCTGCCAGATCATCATATGGAAACATGCGCACAATCAAGAAAGGCTTCTTCCCATCGACCCCGTTGCCACAAAAAACACAAAAATTAGATCCATCGATGATCAACCATCCAAGGACTCCAGGACCCTCGTTCCTGCAATCATCGGCCTTATTCTTCAAAAAGGATTGCCAAGTCAACAAAGCCACCAGATGTCGTGAATCATTTATCCCATTTTTGAAGTTCTATCGACGACCGTACGATGAGATGATTTACAGATCAAAGATGCGACCTCCTCTAGGTGGCCTTATCTCCATTATCTCTCCACAACTCAAGCGCAGACACATGTCCGTCTCTCAACGATTTTGATTCTCTAAAATCGTACATAGTATTGATATTGACTAAAGACTTGATTACTAATAATTTATTTATTGTTTCTAAGTTTCAATGTCAAATGATCCTTTAATGCCTAGTACATTTATATTGTCCCAATATTTATTATGTAAAGAAATAGACTACGTGCTGAGTGGGGTATGAAATATCGTGCAAAATGTCACATTTGGTGCTATGTGGAAGCAAGACAGCGTGGTCTAGACGGTGAACATCACTTTGGAAACAAAAAAAATTCCAAGAACACCAACTTTATTGTTCAAATAAAGCAAATTTTTTTTTTTATGGTCGTGTGAACATTTGAGATTTTTTAATCCGTGGTTGAACTTTGTAATGCTAATAATAATAAAAAATAGGTTAAAGTTTGAAAAAATTTCACTTCTTGAGCTTGTTTGTATTAATTTAGTCGGTGGATTTTTTTATTTACTTCTTGGTTTCAACAATTGGTAGGAATATGTGTCTGTATGCTTCTGTATTCAAAAGTCAAATGGGGTTTCTGATAGTTAGACATATTATATGAGTATGGAGAAGGTGGGGTTGAGTTGGGTTGGGTTGGAGGTATACAAGAAATTTTTTGTGCAAAAAGCTAGAGACTCGAGTCCTTGCTATACTATAAATGAGCTTTGAACGAGGGCGAGATTCACTATTTCTTTGCATTACATTACGGTAAAATTTATATAATACAAACATATACGAGAGAATATGAACAAATTACGAATATTGTTCATTGGAATGATGTTTACTCTCTCTAGTTGTGTTCTCATCTCCATGCTATTTGCGAGCCTCCCAAGCAATTTCCCGATAGCCATTCGTGCATTTTTCGAGTTACTAAATAACAAGGGTAAGAGAGATGCATGTGAAGGTGAAAAGAAAATAACTTGTAAAAGGTTAAGATGTTAAATTAAAAATAACATTTTAAACTAAAAAATTAGAAAGTTGACATTTTTCATGAGCTAGCCAGCTACTTCAAAAATTCATCTACTTTATAGTATGCATATGCACATATAATTTGTCGTGTACTCATTTGTCCTCAAGTAATCAATGTTCTATGTCCCAAAACATGAGTTGAGGCAATTTTGTTTGGGATCTATTGTTTGATTCATTTGGTGTGAGAGTTTGGTTTGTATTTTAGTTAGTGAACAAGTTTGATATGGACAAAAATGTTCTGTTTGCACTACCATTGGTTTGTGTTTGGAGTTTATACTTTGGTGGTCTTGGAATTTCTTGAGTTTAAAAACCTCTTTCACTAACTCCTAGAGGCCAACGTGACCTACAATTTTACACTTGGATATTCATATTTTTACGAGAAAAGACCATAGAAGACTGTTTGGCATTTGGAATTTTATTCTTTGTTGCTTTCGCGGATAGTGTCTTTAAGTGATTATCGAGTTCTTGAAGGAGACTTTGGGTGAATAGATCATGGGACAAGTGGTACATTGTGAACAAGTCCAATAGTCGATCTCCAGTCCAAATGTTCATAATTAACCCCTGTTGGATCCACATTCTTAAAAGAAATTTATTTTTTCAAAACTCATTTTCAACCACACATTTTTCAATAAAATAATATTACACGCAAATACAAAACTTTTTTTTATTTTTTAACTATATATTTTTCATCACATCACATCATAAAATGCATTCTTTTTTCAATAATGTGCATCAATCACTCCTAAGAGTTCGGTGTTAAATGATCATTTTAACCCTCTAATTATTTTTATTTGTTATTATATTTATGCATTATGTCTTGTTTTTCTTTGTTGGAATAATATATTTATGATCAAATTTTAAAAATAATAATACAATAATTCTTTATTGAATTACTCAAGTTTTAGATCTGTTCGTGTAGTGAAAATGCCCAAGTAAACATTCGACTCNNNNAAATGCCCAAGTAAACATTCGACTCTTGCCAGAGACATACTTATTCCATCTTGTGGTTATATAAATATACATAATTTTGAAATTCATAACACAAGGTGTTGATGACTAAAATCACACAACAATTTTAGATCAAGTTAATAGAATTTTGATAGTAATTACTAGAATTTAGGAAAATTAAAGGATAATTTTTATTGATTGAATTTTGGAGTATATTGGAGAGAATACATTGAGTTCAGTCATTTGGAGGGAACTATTTGCCTCCATTTATAGGCCTTTAAATCAAGCAACTTACTTGCCCAACGTCATATTAGATACAATGATGATTCAAAAGTGCATGCCATCGTACAGATTTAAGGTTGTTGATTGATTGTTGAGGTCGGTTGAATAGATCGTGATGGTGTCTAGGTCTTAGCTGTGTTGCCTAGATCACGATTACCTGTTGCTTAGGGAATCATTACTTATTTTTAATTAGTTGAAAATGAGGTGCTGATGTCATAAACGCCATTTCTCTCTTTGGGAGTAGTTGATCATTTGGTGATGACATCACTTGCAGATATGTTTAAGAATGCAATGATTATGTTTCTAGATGACGGTAGATATGGGTCGAGTTGACCTATCATGGTTCAATCTAACTTGTCTGACCTGTTATGGGTCGATCTGACCTATTATGAGTTGGGTTGACCTGTGATGAGTAGAGTTAGCTTGTCATGAGTGGTTGACCTGTCATGGGTCAAGCAACTTGCCATAGGTCAAGCTAACTTGTTATGAGTCGAATGGCTTGTCTTGGGATGAGTTGACTTGAAATCTCTTTAGTCCTTACCCTTTGAAGTCACTATTAAAATCTTTAAGAGCTCTCCTTAAATTTAGGTGAGTCCGAGCTGGTTTTCTACATTATTTATTTCTCAAAACAACACCAAAGCAAGCTCCAACTCTTTCATCTAAAGCAACGTATAGCCCTCATCCTCACTTCTATATTTCATGTTTTGATTGCATCATTTTTAGCAATGGAAACGACAACTTCCTCCGTTGTCCTTGCAATTCGATCTATAAGGGCACTTCCCTTTGTATCCTCACTTCCCTTTGGATGCACTTCCTTCCGACCAGGTAGCCACCTCAAGCATTAGGCCATTTGTCAAATTAGTTTGTTCTGCATATCAATCATGCAGCCTAATTGCATGATTCTGCAAGTGTACAGATTGAAATAAATAATAATAATAATAATAATAATAGTGAATTTTGAGTCCAAATATTGTACCTACATGGACTAAGTATTTACAACTAATTTTATCATAATCTAGTTTCAATCGAAATTAATTTAGCAACCAATTATAGTCAAGAGTTAATGATTCTAACTAAATTATACTATATTAATCTAATCTATGAAAGCTTAACGATTTTTTTTTGAAGAACTTTTGGGATTAAATGGTGAAGGAATTTCAATTCACTTAGGGTACGTTTGATTGTTGAATATGGAAAGAAAATAAATTCTAGACAATTGACTAGAATTCAATTGTCTATAATTTATTTGTACGAAAGTTATTAATTAAATGTGTTTGATTGGTTTAGTTTTCAACCTAAAAAAATATTATATTTGTTCATTTTTTATTGGTGAGTAGATGAGAGAGGGGTAGACGAAAGAGAGAAAGAAATAGTGAATTATTTGGAAAATAAAAGCCACGTTTTCTTTATTTTCAAGGAAAATATAATCACGTGACCAAAAGAAAGAAAATATTTTTCGTGAAAAAAATTATCAACTAAACAGTATAAATGTAGGAAATTAGATAGAAAATTTACATTTTCCATGAAAAATATTAGCAATCAAATGCACTCTTATGTCATTTAACATTTTCTAATCCAAAATCTATCTTTTTTGACTAAATGGTCATGTGAAGATACTTTTGGGCTCGGACTATGACACGAGGGATATGAATTAATTTTCAGAAGTTAGTATTGATTTTTGAAATGAAATTGAATTAATGTTATTTTGTGTATTTTTGAGCAGTTGCAATATCATATTTGCTTGTTGGTGCAGTTTAATTATTTGAACTTTTTAAGTACTTTTAATTCATAAGAAAAATATATTAATGTTATAATTACTGACATTTGTTTTTCTTAAAAAAAAAAAATCAATCCAACTCTCTGACGTATCTATTCTTGTCGGAAATTTGCGTAAAACATTCGGCTCACTTGTAGCAACAAATATGTTCCCATTTAGCAAAGCCATTTCGTAAAAAAAAAAAAAAGAAAAAAAAAGGTGAAATTTAGCGAAGGAAATTGTTGACATACAAAAAATGAAGCTCGATTAAATGGTCCAAAGAACGAAGCCCAATTAGTAAATTCGAAGGATGGACCCAAACGAGACTATATAAAAACCCAAGACGAAATTATGTATGGAGGCTCATCCTCGCTCAAGCCTACGGACGCTCCAGATCTGGGCAAGCCTGTCATCACTTAAGCCTGTGAGACGTCCAAAATTTGGACGAATATAATGTTTGGGTTACTAATCGAAGCAATGGTTATTGAAGCAGTTAATGAGTAATCTTATCACATTCCATGATCCAAGAATTTCGGTTGTAAGGAGTTAAGTGATGTGAGTAATGGCAGTGGTTGAAAACGGTAGTTTCTTGACAAGTCATCCATTATGGAGAACGTGGGTAGTTATAGAATAAAAAGCAGTTTTCAAATAATTCTACAAGGATAACCGTCAAAGGAGTATAAAAGCGAAAAAAGAATTTAGAGGAAATGGATCAGATCAAACGACTCTCAATGAGGGTTTCATTATCAAATTTATCAATAGACGAATCTTTGATGGCGAAGGCCATTAACTGAAGAAATCAAGATATAAGCGATTAAAATTTGTCTTTGATGCCACACTTTTTATAGTAATAGTGGTTGTATAATAATAAATGTTACAAATGGTCGTGACTGTGATGTAACAATAAATGTTACAAGTGATGGTCAATGATGGTGTAACAATAAATTTTATAACTAGTATGATCTATTGTGGTGGAATTGTAAAACATAATATTACAATTGGTGGTGATGTTGACGGCAACAACAATGACGACGGTGAAAACGGGCAACTAAATGAGTGTAAAATA